ATGGATGGATGGATGAGTAGGTAGATGGGTAGAGGGATGGGTAGATGAGTGGATGGAGGGTGAAGAGATAGATGGACAAATGGGTGGATGGGTAGGTGGAGGGGTAGGTGGAGGGAGGGAGGGATGGATGGATAGATGGATGGATAGATGAGTAGGTGAATGGATAGGTGGATGAGTGGATGGATGAATGGATGGAGGAAGAGAGGGATGGATGGATGAGTAGATAGATGGGTAGAGGGGTGGGTGGGTGGTGGGTGGATGGGAGGGTGAAGGGATAGATGGACAAGTGGGCGGATGGGTGGGTGGAGGGAGGGATGGATGGATGGAGGGAGGGAGAGAGGGATGGATGGATGGACGGATAGGTAGATGAGTAGAGGAGTGGGTGGGTGGGTGGATGGGAGGATGGAAGGATAGAGGGACAGGTAGGTGGGTGGGTGGGTGGATATGTGGATAGGTAGACGGGGGGATGGATCAAGGTGTTGACAGGCAGGTGTTGTCTCGGGCCCGACTCTGCACGAGGAGGCAGGTCTGTCCACCTGGAGCCCGGAGTCCTTTAGGAGCGCTTGAGATTCTGAGGTTGCAGATCCCGACTGGCCCCTCACGGACTCCCCAGGCTCCAGAGGATTTGCAATGCTTATTCCCAGCAGCAAGGAGAAAGTGCTCCAGGATGCCATACCGATGCACATTGTGAGTACTCGCGCCTTTTGAGCCAGTGCTTCTGCTGCTGAGAATCTCTGCAACAGGGATGCTAGCACTGGTGTGCAGAGACGGGTATGGGTGCCGAGAGGGTAACGGCGGACCAGCCTGCTCGCCCCTCAGTGGAGCATGGCCCACCACGCCGTGCTCGGTGGCCAGGACAAGAGTCAAAGAGGATGCATCCATATGCTGAGAAAGGAACATGTGGAGTTGAGTTGCTAAGTGACAAGGAACAATCATATAAAACGAGCTGTGTGTGATATGGGTAAACACACGCTCCGTGTGTGTGTGTGTGTGTGTGTGTGTGTGCGCGCGTGTGTGTGTGTCCATGTGTACAAGTGCATAGGAAAGAGGCTGGGCTCACACTCACCCACCTCCTAAACACAGTCCCCACTGGGCACACAGTGGAATTGGAAGGGAAATTTCCTGGTTAGTCTCTATACTTTATCAACTTTTCTGTTAACGATTGTCCTGTTGTACATTTCAGCCCTTGATCCCAACATACATTTTTCTGGCTTCTGATGGCTCGATGGCAGTCGGGTTGGGTGGGAAGGTGGGTGGGTGGGTTAGTGGCGAGTTCACCCAGGACGGTGGGTGTGGGATCCGTAACCAAGCTCTGACCAAACCAATTCGGAAGGCTCACCCTGGCATTCAAGGCTCACCTCCACCCAACTTTTGAGCACAGTCTCCCAGTATTCCCAAACACATATAGCACAGGGTCAGCAAAGTACTCGGCCCGTCACTTGTTTTTGTATAGCCTGTGGGCTAAGAATGCTTTTTCACATTTTTAAGTGGCTGGGGAATAATCAAAAGAAGAATAATATTTTATGACACAAGAAAATTGTGTGACATCCACATTTCATTGTCAACAAAGTTTTGTTGGAACACAGCCACACTTACTCATTTATATGTCATGTATGGCTGCTTCTGAGCTCTGGCAGTGGAGCTGAGAAAATACAACAGAGACCGTCTGGCCTGCAAAACCCCAAATATTTACTCTCTGGCCCTTTGCAGAGAAGGTTTGCTGATGCCTGATATCTTCCGTCCCAAGCAAATCAGTCAGCTGTGTGGCCCCACTACTTGGCATTTGTTCTCGGATCCATGCGCCCTGTACGTTCTCTCTCTTTGCCACCTCCCCGTGTCTTCCCGCTGGAAAACTAGCCATCCTGAAAGATCGTTTCAAACCCGCCTGTGACGAGGATCTGCTGATTCCCCCTTCTGGCTGACGCCCAGGTAGGTCTCTCTACCCTCCCACCCCTAGGGGATCCTCACGGACAGGGACTGATTCATTCCTGGGTCTCCAGCGCTTGACATAGTCTCTGGTTAAAGTTTGCTGAATTGCACGGACTGCTGTCATTGCTGTGTGGGTAAAATGCTTCCAGGCTTCTTGGGGTTTTTTTTCCCTGACTCACCACAAAACCTGAAAACTAGCCAGGAAGCATGGGGTTGGGAGTGGGGGTGAGGGTCAGGTGGAGTGCAGAGAGCTGAGCTCATGGCCGGGGGGAGGGGGGGTGGGGGTGGTTCTGATGATCCTAGGGGCTTCCCCCAGGGCAGAATCACTGCACGTGACCATGGAGGGCAAAGTAGGACCAGGAGGACACAGCATGATTCCGCTGAGTGGGGACCTCACTTTGGAGTCAGTTGGAGTCAGCCTGGTGGAGAGTGAGTTCCCCATGCTGGGAGGTAAGCAAGCCGAGGTTGGATCAAGAATATTATGGAGGAGACTCCTGTCCTCTCGGGACGCTGTACTGGATGAGCCTCCGACCTGGGGCTCTTGGGGGCCTGGGGTTCTCTCAGGGCAATGACCAGGCGCTTCAGTGCCAGGCACGATCTGGGGGTTTGGGGAGAAGAGAGCACTATCCTTGCCGGCTGCTGAAGAATCCCCTCGCTTCCTGCCCGCCTGTGTCTCATCCTGCTGCCCGCCGGCCGTGTGTGCCAGCATCTCCAGGGCTTCCCAGACGGAACCTGAGGCCTGAGGCAGGGCCCTGGGACCCAGCAGCCGGGAGCCCCACAGTTCTCTATGGAGCCCCACAGTTCGTCACAAAATCATCAATGACTTCACGGAGCTTCGGGGACTCTGGCCACCGTCCCCCGTGCTCTCCGCCCTGGAAACCCCCAACTCCGGGCATGTGTTTAGAGCTTGCCTTCTTCCGGGAAAGGTTTGAGGTTCTTTAATGATAATTCAGCCTCACATTGGTGCAGCATGAAAAACCCACAGCGCACTGTGGTCGAGAGTCCGGCCTCAGAGCCTGCTGTGACCACCGGGGGCAAGTTGCTTAACCTTCCCAACAGGGCCACAAAGGACTCAGGTTTCTAATCCGGCTCCAGATTTGGGGCCTTGCTGCTACCACTGCTTGGCTGTGTGAGCTTGGTGAACATTTTGGGCTCCCCCCAGGACGTGCTCAGGGTTCTCTAAGAGCACACGGAAACTCACAAGGGCCCTGCGGACACGGGGAGCTGCCGTCATCAGGAAGAGACCAGCCCCTCCTTGCCCTGTGGAGCTGATGACAGGGCCAGCCTGTAATGCGCCCTCCTCCCTGCTGGCTGCCTCATGACTTGTGAAAAGATGCCAGCCCTCAGTTTTGGGGCTGAAAACTGAGGTTCAGCCACAAAAGCAGAACCACCCCTTTCCTTAAGCACAGGAGATGGTCAAGGGCGGTTGCTTGGACGTAATGTGGAGCCACCAAAGGCTGGCCCTGCCCCATCTCCGAGCCTCCCTGCCACCCCCACCCAGTCACACCCCAGGAGGCACCACTTGGGTGCTACAGGGGGGCCGTTGGGGCCTTCCTACTGGGCAGACACGCCCTCAAGCCTCAGTTCTGCCACTGCTCTGAGACGTGGTGTCGCCTCTCAGTGTTCCCATCTGTGAAATGGGACTCAGAAAACCTTTCTTGGGAAGTTGATGAGGGAGATGCATAGAGAATGCCAGGCTCAAAGTACGTGCCCCTCCCCCCGCCCCAGTAGAAAACCCTCTGTTTTCCCTCCTGGTGCCCAGCCTTTTAAGGAGAAGGGAGGACCAGTCCAACCAGATAAGCATTAAGATACTGGGAGACACACACGTTGGGAGACACAGGCTCTGGTCCTCGGTGAGAGCTCCCTGATCGTTCGCTTCTAAATCAAGACAGGAAGGAGGCAGTGGCGAAAAATAACAATTACAGCTAATGCTTAGTTCTTCCACAAATATTTCATTCCGCGCATAGTTATTGGGGGTCCACTGCACTGGGCACTGTTCCAGGTGCTGGGGGTACGGCATGGAGGTTGCAGGGAAGCCAGGGCAGAAGACAATACACAAATAAATATATAATGTCACACGGTATGCTAAGGGCCAGGAAGAAAACTCAGGTGTGGGGGACGGCAGGGGTGCATATAGAGTGATGAGGAGGGGGCGGGGCAGGATATCTTAGAGAAGGCGGTCAGGGAGTCGGCATTTGACCAGAGACCTTGATAAAGAAGGGGTGAGGCTCTAGGGGAATCTCGGTCTGGGCAGAGGAAATGGCCTAGGTCTAGGCCTCCTGGTGACACAGCCATAGAGGTCTCTTACAAAAGGCAGTCCAGTGGGGCTGTGGGGGAAGGAGAGAGGGAGGGAGGGGTCTGGGAGGAGGGAGGGGAAAGGGAGAGGGGGAAGGAGGGGAGAAAGCGGAGGGAGAGAGGAGAGGAGGAGGGAAGAGTGCTGTAAGTTCCATCTGCATTAACTCGGTTCTCCTGCCAGCCCTCTGGGGACCTGGGACCGTCCTTATCCTACAATTACAGATGAGGAAACAAAAGCACTGAGAAGTGGAGTCACTTGCTGGTAAATGGGGAGCTGGGATTTGGACCCGCTCAGCTTAGCTGTCCTCGCCCGAGAAACCCAGCCAGGATGCTCCAGGACGGACCCCTGGCCTCCATCTGTTTGTGTTCTAGAAACGGGCTATTCTGGGTCAGCTCAGAGACCCGGGAGGAGCTGGACGCTGTGGGCTCCCCACGGGCTCCATTTAGGCTTTAACAGCAGGATTCAGCTAGAAAGTCAGAACGCAGGACAGAAGAGAACTTGAAAGCCCTCCTGGCCCAGAATGTTGGGTATGCCTTGCAGTCGTGTTGCCTGCCCTTACCCCTTGCGGCTGCCTTGGCGAACTCCTCTTCATCCCTCACCGTCCAGTTGGGCTGGCCCCTCCTCTGCAAAGGCTTTCCTGATTCTGCTGACCAGATGGCTCCTTGTACGTACACTCTTCCAGCTTTCAGATCCCTGGGTTTCAATTCTTCTTTTAGGCTTCTGGCTCCCCGGCTCAGTCCAGCCTAGGGTGTGGCCGGGGCAGAGAGAGTGAATGGGGCAGATATAGGATCATCCCCATGCCAGCCTGCTGGCCTCGCCCTCCCCAGCAGGGAAGGCAATGAACAAGCTGACCACCAGGTGCCCAGCGTCGGGCTCCCCCTCGTCCGGCCCCTGCTTGGTGACGTCCCTTCTCGGGGCCAGAACTTGGGGCCAGCTGCCATCAGCGACTACTTAGTTCCCTTTTGCTACACAGAGCGACAGGTCACGTCTGGAGCCAGGGGGTTCCCGCTGCTGCCGGAGCCGGGCCGCGCAAGGGGCTGGTGCACAGGGCTGTGTCCGGAGCCCGAGCTCCCGGGTCTAGACCCACTGGCCCCACTGCCCCGCCCAGCTCCACCCCAGGGCCTCCGGGACATCTCCATGTGTCTGTGTCAATTTCCCACCACACAGTTCCACATCTCCATCCTCAAACCCTCTCCTCCCGGGCCTCCCCCCGGCTCCCTGAACAATCGGCAAGTCTCAGAGTCCTCCTGGACTGTCTCTTGTCCCTTCCTCTGTGTCTGGTTGTCCAGCAGCACCCAGGGCCCTACACATATCCTGAGTGCATCTGTCCTTCTTCGTCCCCTCTGTCTCCCTGCATCCACTCTGGCCCTCCTTGGGCCACTTTGCTCGCAGCAGCCTTTCATGTCACTGTCCCGCTTCAGCCCGCTGTGGCTCCCACACTCCCCTGGCCACAAGGCCCTCCATGAAGTGGCCTCTGTAGCGTTTCTCTTGCCTCGGACTCTTCTCCTGACTGACCACCCAGACCCAGCCACGCCGGCTGTTGCTCTGCCCCTTCAGCTTGCCACGATCACTCCCACCTCAGGGTCTTTTCAGTAGCTTTGCCCCCTGCCAGTTGCTTTCCCCCCACTAACATGCTGGTCAGGTCCCTGCTCAGAGGTCACCCCCTCAGAGGTGTCTCCCTGACCACCTGGCTGCACGCTTTGCAGCACTCTGTCCTGCTCTGTCACGTGGCCTTGCTTAGCTCTCTGATGAGCACTCCTCTCTGACATTGTATGTATCTCCCCCGGCTGCAAGGGCAGGGACGAGGCCACCCCAGCCCCCGACATAGAGCCGGGCACGCAATCGGCACCCCAGAACTGTGGGCGGACTGAGTCAAAGAACCAGATGGAGTCCGAGTGCCCTCTGTCGCCACTCTAGGAGTGCCGAAATGCTGGCACTTTTTGACCCGGACATTTCACATCTGGGGTTTTACCCTAGGGAGGTCGTGAGACAGACGTGCACAGAGCATGTTCTAGATACTCCTCCCAGTGTTTTCTGTCACATCCTGAATGACCGGCGACAACCTAGGTGTCCATCAGGAGGGCAGTGGCTCAAAGCAGGCAAATGGGGTCCAAACAGGAGGAGACGGATCTGTTTGCATTGTTGTGTCCCCACGGGAAGGACATGGAGCCCCGTGCTCGTGACACGTTTGTTGTAAAGCAATCCCTGAGCTCAGAGCTCTGGTTACACCAAAACATATCTGATTCATCAAAACAGAGAAATGGATTGGAAAGGTGGGAGCCGCCCGTCTAACCCAACTCTGATCCTGACCCATGAGAAAGCATGTGCCAGGGAGGGAAGTGCCTGCCGCTGCCCGGGGAGGGCCCGGCCTCCCTGTAATTAAGGCAGCGGGAGGTTGGAAGCCTGGATCATCGCTGGCAGCCAAGGTTGGAACGGAGGGGGAAAGGGTGACCCAGAGGCTGGGCCGTGACCACGTCAGCAGCCACTAGCTGGGCGACACAAGGCGGCTGCGAGGGGCCCAGGGGGTTACCTTCCTCCCTGCCACCCCTGGCCAGGCCCCTCCCACCAGCCTCCCAGCTTGTCCCTGTCCCCCGGCTCCTTCCTCTTGATGTCCCCTCTGCCTCAGCACCAGTGCCGTGTCTCCAAAAAGCTGGTCACCAAGGCACATCTTCTCACGTTCTCACAGTGCTGTGGGGCAGAAAGCCTTCCCTTCCTCCCTTCCTCCCTTCCTCCCTTCCTTCCTTCTTTCCTTCCTTCCTTCCTTCCTTCCTACCTTTCTTTCGTGTATGAGAACGTTCTCCTGCTCTAAGTGCAGAGCATTATGAAGACTGGGAAGGGGCAGCTGGCGGGACTACCCAGCATTCCTTGGAAAGGAGGCCGTTCTCTAGAATGCCTTCTGAGGCTGCCCCATGCCAGCTGAATGGAGCCGACGCTCCGAGACTGTCATGACCTGTTCTCACTCCAGCCCCCACCAGCCCATCTCCCCGACATTCTCCCAGACTCGTCATTCCCGTCGCATGCTGCCTTCCTGCCTCCATCCCCTCTGCCTGGGATGCCCTCACCTTCCCCTGCTCAGCCCCTCTGTCCAGTTCACATGCCTCCTCACCCAGGCAGCCTTCCCTGATTGGGCCAAAATGGCACACTTCTCCCGCAAGCCTATAGCCTTGGTCTGTACTCTGGGTCTAACGCAGATCGAATGAATTACTCCCCCGGCCCCCCCAGCACCAAGGCTGTAACCTCTCTGGGGTCCAGGCCTGCCCTGGAGGCCACCCACAGCCTCGGACAAGTCACTTGCCCCGTCTAAGCTGCACCGTCCTGTAAAACAGGACAGCCAGAGTCTCTGTCAGAGGGATCACGGAGCGGTGTGTGAGACGGTGCAGGTAAATGCAGGTAAATGCCCAGAGCTGCTCCGCTCTGGTGGCTGCTCGGAGTGGGGTGCCCGGCGTTCCAGCTGGTCCTGCTGTGACCGGGGCCGGGGAGGCCTTTCTATAGGACAGCCTGGGATGTGTCGCTCCCACGGACCATCCTCAGGGGCAGGCCTGCGAGCGTCCTTGTGAGGCCCTGCCTGACCCTCTCCCGACTCCCCCCGTCTGCCCTACCTCTCCTTCGGCCACTGCTGAAGTTCAACCACCCGGAACTCACGCGGGGACTCTAAACACGCCACAAACCCTCTCGGCTCAAGGTTTCTGCACAGGCCGCTCCCTCCACCTGGCATACGTTTCCTTCGTTCCCGCCTTCACCTGACCGATTCCTATCATCCTCAGACGCCCATTCCTCCGGGAAGCCTGCCCTGACTACCTCCCACAGGCAGGTGAGGCACCCCCATTGCATGTTTCTGCGGCACTCCCCCCCCCCCCCCCACCGCTTTGCAATGCCCCGCTGACCCGTGAGCTCCGTGAGGTGAGACCCTGCGCCTTGTTCCCCGCTGGAAACCCGGCTCCAGGCACGGTGTCTGGCGTGGAGTAGATGCTCAGGAAAAAGTTAATGACTAACTGAATGGATGGATGAGTCAATTCTGCACCCCCCCACACTGCAGGAAATGTCTGTGGAACAGATTTGAGTGGGAGGTTCCAACAGGGCCTGGGAGAAGCCCCTGGGGTTTGGGCGCTGGGTGGTGAACACAGGAGACCCACCATCCATCCCCGCCCCCGGGGGGGGCGGCCGGCCCCCCCCCCCCCCCCCGCCCCGCCATAGACCTTGGCCCCCCCCCCCCCGCCCCCTCCGAGCCAGCTTCCAGATGCTAAGCCCCAGCTCAGCCTTACCTCTTAGCTTTTCCGTCTGCACAGCCGGGCCAGATCCCCGCAGCCAGCGTCGCCGGCAGCCAGGCCAATCTTGCCGGCGTCTTCCTATTTTAGACATCTCGCTGCCTCGGTCCCTTCTAATGTTTCCAGCCCGGCTGCGGGGGGAGGAAAAAGAGGTTACTGCTACTTTAAATGTACTGTATGAAGGCGAGGGCTGGAGAGGGGCCTGCTTGCAGGAATACCCAGTCATCTAGTTGGAAAAACCGCCAGATGGAATACAAAAGGAGAAACCCAGACGCTCATGGAGACAGCCTTGGTTCATAAATCAGGTGGGGCCAGGGGCTGGGGGCCCATTCGCCATGGAGCCCGATTCCCTCCTGGACCAAGACGACTCCTACGGTAAGAAGGCTCTGGCCCCTGCAAAGTGGCAGAGTTGGGGATTCAACAGAGCTGCTCGGCACTTTTCTCTGCTTGCTGCAGGAATCCGAGTTGATGGGGGGAGGCTGTCAGGCGGCTGGGCACTGTCTGCTCTTGGGGCCTGGGGGTGGGCACGGGTGCCCGGGGTTAGGGGGGCACAGGGCTGGAGGGTTCCCCGGGGCAGAGCCACGGGCAGCCCCTCAGATCTGGACATTAGCAGGGTCAGGGGAGGGAGAGGGACTTTGGGCTGCTTCTGTTGTGCTCTTGGCTGAGAAGGAAAGGAAGGAAGTTTGCAGCCCCCCTGCCTGTCTGCCTCGCTCCTGTCCCCAAGCCTGCCGGGTGCTGTGGGGAATTTAATTAGTGAGATCCTGCAGATAAATATAGATGGACCAGGCATCAGGAACGCACCCTGTAATTAAAGCCAGGCTGAAAGCGCGCCCCGCTTTACAGGGCCCCAGGGGCTACCACCAGGGAGCTGCCTTTGCCCCTGCTGCAGCCTCCGGGTGCCCGGAAACCCTGGGCAGATTGTTGAGGGGCAGTTGCCAGAGACGGGGGCCCTTGCTGAGAGCCTAGGAGGACTTGTAGGAATGGCTTGGCCGGGACAGGTTCTGCAGGCTTGGAGCCCCGGTTGGGGGGGGGGGGGTGCACAGGCAACTGAATCCCCTATTGCTCAGCCCAGCCAGGCTGCTGTACCCTCGGCTGGC